TTACATCTTCGTACATATTTATTGGACATAGTTTTGGAATCGAGAGGAGGGAATCGCACCTATATCAATTATGCACACGGATGTTATCTTACGTGAAAGACATAAGTATGGCAACATATAATTCTTCTAGTAAAAAGAAAAAAAAATCCTGCATTTTCCTGTTTGTTTTTTCCTTTATGTTTTTTTAATTACGGATTTTTTCCCTGAATTTTTTGTTTGCTTCATTTTATTCGATTGACACAATTCTGTTAAGGGCAAGTGTCAGGGATATGTCACTCCAATATCATCGGGTGTGCCACTGAGGCAAAAATTCCTAAGGGGTCACAGTGACCATGTGTAAAGTTAAATCAGTTACATCAAATGGAGTAAGGGATGGCGTGACTCCATTGGAGTCAACTTGACTGCAATGGGGAGTTTTTTAATAACATTTTTATGACATTAGATAACATAACTGGGTCAACATAATCATTCTTTTGGGAACATAAAAAATGATAATTTTATATGACAATCTTGGTGATATCAATTTTTAAGCAATTCTTTAAGGCGGATACACGTGCAGAAGTTCCATTTTGCAAATGTATCGCCTTTATATAATCTTTGGTATGCTACGCTAGACATTTTTTCAGGGACGATTTTCAATATTTATTAATATAATATAATATTAATATAATATAATATAATATAATATAATATAATATAATATAATATAATATAATATAGTTATTGGAATAATTTCAATGATGACGTTATGGGTTATATGTAAAGCCAATGCAGGGATGTTGTTTTTTAGAACGTTAATAGTTTTTGTTGTATCTGCATTAAATTCCTTCTTCCGCTATATATGGCCTGCTATTGCCCATGACACTCAAATCAGCACAGCTTGTACGAGCTTTGACACAAAGAAATGATCTTTTTCAAATCTCCTGGGTAAGGCGGGGCTACATACTGTATAGTGACGCTGGCATTTATTTGACGAAAATGATTTTATCGTCTATTTTGCAAAATTGAATCATCTATTCCTTCACTTACTGGTTGAATAAAGTGAGTTGCCTTTATGTACTACCTATGAAACCGCTATTTGGGGATTAAACACAGTGTAATGCTATGTGATTAACAATTCTCTGTTATGAGAATCTCATTATGTAGCGAATATTTCTGGCACTGGATAGTTTTGTATTTGTTAAAACGTATTTATCTACCGCGCATGTGAATGAAAAAAAAAGACGAATCGAGGCACCGACCTGAATTTGCTGGTCCCTGGGAAGTCAAAACATTATTTTCTTCTGTTCTTCGCTACTGATGCTTCGAAGGAAGCCAAAAAAAAAAAAAAAAATGAAAAAAAAGTAGAACACATATAATCGACTGCTTTCATGGCCACGTGTAGTGTCAGCGAAAATATATCTTCTACACACACACACAGGGAAAAAGGACGTGACAAAAGTACTTTGTACAGGTCATCGGTCATTTTGCAAAAGAAAAAAGTTTTCATGTACAGTGTCAACGAAAGGTGTATCATACCATTACTAACAAAATAATCTGGATATGAAAACCACTAGTGCAAGAATGTATTTTACAGGAGGTTATACAGTGTTCCTCAGGAGGATTCTAGAGCTCAAGTCGTAAAATATATATAAACAAAACTACAGCAGTTTCACAAGATCAAGATTACCACCAATGATGAAATTTGAAATATTGATCATGACTAATATGCCACGCCTGCAAACACTTCTTGAAGGATCTTTTTTACTAAACGGCTTCACCAGTCGTGTACTTTGAATATTTGTTATGCACGCCTAGATTTGAAAAAAAAAAAAAAAAAAAAATGGTTACGTTTCAATAAAGAAAGATCAACTGTGAATTTCGTTTTGAGTTTTGTTTTGTTTTTAATGTGATAATAACTTGTTACCTTACACACATCTCAAAAAGTTTGTTCTTATAACATTTTAGTTTTAACCTAAGGTGCTATGGGCGATAGCAACATGTACAAGAAAGTATAACTTTATTGAATTTTAATGAAAACTTTTTGATTCGAAACAATGTAAAAGTTGGTGACATTTTTATCCACAATAAATCTAGGGTCGGATGGAGGCCGCCTTCTGGGTCTAACGTAATGTTCTCTTTTGACAGCACAGTAGGTTTGTTCAATCACCAACGTACCAGTATTATCCGTCTCACATATGACAGATTATTGCCAGATTCCCTAGTTGATTACCTCACGTTTTATGTCAAATAAGGGACGAAGCGTCGCGGTAGCCAATCACGTGCTCACACGTCATCAGTCCCCCAAAAGTAGGTTGAGCGAAGGTAATGCATGTAGAAAACCCTGCAGTTCTTTACGCTAATGACAGTGCATTTCTACATGCACCAGTTGCCCCTGTATGGACTGCACTGATGTATATACCGAGGTTCAGGTGCCGCAGGATTATCATTTAGTACTAGGGAAGATATAGAAAATGTTGTCTCTCTCTCTCTCTGCCTTTCTTTCTCACAACTCTCTCGTTTTATGTGTGTGTGTGTGTGTGCGTGTGTGTGTGTGTGAGAGAGAGAGATAGAGAGAGAGAGAGAGAGAGAGGAAAAAGAGAGAGAAAGAGTTCTATTTTTCTTTTTATTTCCAGGTAGAAAAGATTAACCTAAAAAGAACAAAGACAATTTAAGTGTTAGAATTTGCTTAATAAACCAATATACAGTCCCTTTACAACAATACCTCACCTGGGATTGGGATTGTGAAAGATGTGACAACCTTTATATCCATACTCATTCCCTTATATTCCACTCCAGTCAAATATTTACATAAAATATTAAAATACTATTGGGCTGAAACACATCCAAGTTTTGAATGCTCCAATTTACAACACACACACACACACACACACACACACGCACACACACACACACAAAGAGAGAAACGGGGTAGTGAGACATCATTTTAACTTACAGACACACAAAATGTACATGTCATTAAATGAAAAATCTGTGTGTGACTAAGTTGTTGCCTTTATATTCTGTCGTTAGTAAATACGACACCGTTATAATCTTTCATATTATTTATTCCCAGTTGTTTCCCTCGCCGCTTTGTTTCCAGTTCTATCTCTACCTTATTCTATCTCTAGCGGCCTTCTCCTTCGTTTACATGTCAATCAACTCAGTTCCTCTACAAGACACTCCTCGCTCCTTATTCACTCATTGCTGTCAATCACTAATGTTACATGGGATAGGGCTTTGTTTATAACATATTTCTTCTTTTTCGAAAAGATACAAATTATTACCAAAGAACACATAGTGATTACAAAATGTAGCGACAACCTGATCCCCGAACCTTTCGAATGGAACATGTACTATATATCAATTTCATCTTACTTGAATATTTAAATGTATGAACGGCTTTTCATTATGTAAATCCGATACGACAGATGCCAAGGGTGTGTTTTGGGGGTGCCAATCATACAACCCGCATATTATGTAAGTCTGATGTGTTTACTGTATTAAGATAATAAAACAAACATGAATATATAGACTGGTTTCACAGTAAGAATTAAGTAATAGGGAACGGGTCTTCTCAACACTGCCATGTGTGCCGCACTTGTATATGAAATTCCCTCTTAAGAGAAAAAAAAAACAAGTTAAGCTAGGCTACAAAATAGGCAATGACATTAGACACTTTAATCTTGCTGTACCTAAACGCGACCCGATGATTCCAAGACTTGATCTCTCAGACTTGACAACATTGTATTGCACAGAGAAAAGCAGAGAGCAGAAAGCACAGAGACAAGCACTCCGCAGTAGGTTATTATGTCGACCGGCCATAATTTCATTGATCACAAACCGTTTCCACATATTCTGAAGTCCCCAATCTCGCAACTCCGTCTTCTCCATCCTCTAATGTAAACTTCTATACAGTCTTCTTATAAATAGATTAGTAGGCATTTGTCAAGCTATTTTGTGGAACTCACAGTGTTGTTAATCGCTCTTAATTACCGGGTAGATGGTCAATTATTTTTAATTTTAATTCATTTAATCTCTTAAAAGAGATACACATGGGGGCCTCCAGGTGTCGTGAACGATATTAAACCTGACTGCATTATAAAATACTGAAGACCTGCCGGACGCGACGCTAAGGCTGGGTCTTTGCACAAATCGTGAATCATCTTCAATTATGAGCTTTATATTAATATAAGCAAGTTATCCAGAACTATATATAATTAAAAATACACCAAAAGATCTTTAGTTGATAGAATGCATAAATCTTTTGCTGACTCTTTAGAATTCTTAAGAGGCCGGCTTGTTTATGTTTAAAAACTCACCGAGATNAACATTGTATTGCACAGAGAAAAGCAGAGAGCAGAAAGCACAGAGACAAGCACTCCACTGTAGGTTATTATGTCGACCGGCCATCGTTTTATTGGTCACAAACCGTTTCCACATATTCTGAAGTCCCCAATCTCGCAACTCCGTCTTCTCCATCCTCTAATGTAAACTTCTATACAGTCTTCTTATAAATAGATTAGTAGGCATTTGTCAAGCTATTTTGTGGAACTCACAGTGTTGTTAATCGCTCGTAATTACCGGGTAGATAGTCAATTATTTTTAATTTTAATTAATTTGATCTCTTAAAAGAGATACACATGGGGGCCTCCAGGTGTCGTGAACGATATTTAACCTGACTGCATTATAAAATACTGAAGACCTGCCGGACGCGACGCTAAGGCTGGGTCTTTGCACAAATCGTGAATCATCTTCAAGTATGAGCTTTATATTAATATAAGCAAGTTATCCAGAACTATATATAATTAAAAATACACCAAAAGATCTTTAGTTGATAGAATGCATAAATCTTTTGCTGACTCTTTAGAATTCTTAAGAGGCCGGCTTGTTTATGTTTAAAAACTCACCGAGATGTCTTTTCATATCAGTGAAAAAGTGCTATATTATATTTCATTTAAAAGATTACCTTTCTTGGCACAGAAACAGTGTCGTTTTTGCAGGACTGCGCATGCCCCAAGCTCCAATCTTACCCGCATCATATTTAAAATCAAACAGCAATCACAAACATACTTGTAATCATTGGAAGATCAAGGTAAGATTGCCATATCTTTCTCGTATATCATTATCTTTAACATGTTTTTTCGTAGCAACATGCACACTGCCGTTCTGGAGGTAATTACATGGTGCAATGTTTTTTTTTCTTTTCATTAAATTATATAATTTTATCATTTATGTTTTAATGTAATTTGCGAGAAATTTGAAGAAGGAAAAATCATATATGAGGCGTGTATGTATGTAGTTTTTTTTGATCGACTTTGTCACTGAATATTAAAAAAGGGGTGGGGGTGGGCCTGAAAATACACATACTTTACAATTTAGGTTCCTTACAAAATGTATAGATACGGTAAAAATTTAATGTAGATGTAAAATTGAGACAGCCGTAGTTTTTTTGTTCTATTCACCTATACATGTATGTTTTAAAAACGTATACAACTTCGGATTAATTCAATTTTCCTTTTCGAACATGTTCGAGCTAATTCGAGCATGTGAAATGCACCTCTATATTGGGTTTGGATGTTATGTCAGATTAGTGCTGCTACGACCGAGCAAATACCAGCAAATACCAGTAAATATTGATTAGAGATATTGTGTGAAGCAGTGCTGTCTCATATGCGTAGCAATCCATCATGTCTTGGTCATATTTAAGTCAACAGAGGTGTTATGTCGGACATGACAAAGTATCAAGCAACAAATCCTAGTCCCAAAAGAGGTGCCACCGGACATTTTTCCATGTACTCAGGTTATAGGCTATATGCTTACTTGCATTCTGTCTTCCTTTTATTTCAAGGTTACAAAGATTAGCTGAAACGGAACAAAACCAACTGAATCATAAGGATGCGGTGTCAGTGGGTTCTCCTGATTGTGGTAGGTGTGCCGTGGATTGTGCACAACGGGGTGATAGGTGTGAAGAAAAAGGTATTAGATAAAGGTAAGCCTACTCTACCCATTGCGAATAATAGCAATAACAACAACAAAAACAAAAATAATAATGACGATGATGATAATGCCACCCCCTCCCTCTCTCCCCTATCGCCATGCAGTGGTGTAATATACAACATTGGTCAAAAAGGTTGTCTCACCCCCATTTCCATGTACTTTTATTTACAAATGATCACCTCACAGATGTAATTTGTTATAAACGGTGCCTTTTATTCCAGATACCATTTCTAACACGATTAATGGTTTAAACAAATACAAAACAGTGGTGAAAATATGTACATTTATACCATTTAGTCAAATTTATAACAGGTACCCCCTCAAATCCAATGTTTCATTGTGATTTCTACAGATGTAAAGAAATGTCTATTAAATTGAAAAGACGCCACCAAATGTCACCAAATTTACACACAATTAGCATTAGGGTGTACTCATTAAAGGTCACGTGCCTAATAGCGAGTGCGACTACCGTGTACTGCAATTATCTCCTGTAGATAAGCGCGACAAGCCTTCAACACGGGTAACCATTCTGTTTGGTGGGATATTGTCCCATTCATATTAAAAAGCGAGACGGAATTGGTCCAGATTAGTTGGGAATTGGTTCTCCTCTGCAATGATCATTCCAATTAATGCCACAGGTGCTCAATAGGATAAATATTAGGACTCAAAGACTGTTGTCCCATCCTCAGAGCCTTGTGTTTCTGCAACAAATCGCTTGCCAGACGAGAACTTTGAGCTTGTGCGTTGTCACAATGAAGCCTGCAGCATCCCTGAAGTCACCTCTTGCAAATGTAGTTAGCTATCTGTTGAGAATGTTACAGTAAAATGGCCAAGTTACGTTTTGTTCCAAAAGGAACAATGTACTAATACCATGTGCTTGGAATGTTCTCCAAATGCGGACTGATCTAACACCTCAGGCAATATTATCCTGCACACACCCTTCCAAGAGGCATTTTTCAACATGTCTGTGGACCCTCATTTGACCATCAATGGGATACAAGAAATAACTTGATTCTGCATCAAAACCGACTTCCTTCCAGTGATGGATTTCTACGTTCAGATGCTTGTGGGATCAATGAACGTAGCATTCTTAGCTGATATCTCACTCCATCTTCAAGAACTCAAGGCTTCATCATGACGGCAAACTTGCTCACACTTCTCGCCTGGCAAGTGATTTGTTGTAGAAACACAATGCTTTAAGGATGTACCCACCATCTTTGGTCCCTGATATTAACCTTACTAATCAACTGTGACATTAATTAGAGTGGGAATTGCAGAGGAGACCCAATTCCATAAAAGCGTGGACCATCTCCCCCAAGTTGTTTAAGAAGAATGGGACAATATCCCACAAAACAGAACTGTTACCCGTGCTGAAGGCTTGTCGCGCCATCTACAGGAGATAATTGCAGTACGTGGTACATGTAGCCGCACTCGCTATTATGCACGTGACTTTTAACGAGCACACCCTAATGCTAATTGTGTGTAAATTTGGTGACATTTGATGGCCTCTTTTTAATTTAATAGACATTTATTTACATCTGTTGAAATCACAGTGAAATATTGGATTTGAAGGGGTACCTGTTATAAATTTTACTTAGTGGTATAAAATTTGTATACTTTCACCACTATTTTTAAATTTTTTGAACCCTTAATCGCGTTAGACACGGTATCTGGAATACAAAGCACTTTTTCGAACAATTTACAGCTGTAAATTGATCAGTTGTAAATAAAAGTACATGGAAATGGGGGTGGGACAACCTTTTTGACCAATGTTGTACTGTATATACACTTTCCCCCATTTGGTGATCTGCAAATTAGCCGGTACATACGAGATACTTTTTGTTTCTCTAATACCAATGTATAGCTATTGTGTACACGCAACTTAGGCAAATCTAATAATCTGTTTAGAGGTAACAGTTGGCACATATACGTCATGTAAAATAAGGTACCCATGTGGATTTTTTCAGACTTGCAGAGAGAGACAAAGCCTAAAGGACCTGTTGCAAGGGGTAAACTTATTGAAATCAACAACTTTACAATTGTCACAGGCGCTAATCACAAGTATTTTTCCCCGGCTCTCGTTAACCACGTGGGGTCATTCTGTTTCTGGGAACCAACTCTCAAAATCGTGGTGTGGGACCTCGGTTTGACCGCCAAAGAGGCGGAGACTGTGAAAAGCTGGTCCAGCGTGACGTATAGGAGGTTCCCCTTTGAAAGGTAACCCCCCTCACTTTCGCAACCTGCACACGTACGCCTTCAAACCGGTCATTATTAAACAAATGGTCAATGAACTCGGGGCAGTGCTTTGGGTGGACGCCGGTAGCCACATTAGTGGAAGAATGAAAGAAATAATAATTTCTCTTTTTCAAAAAGATGGTTATGTTTATTCCGGCTTACGTGGAAATGGTGCGGTGACAAAATTAGCTCATCCTGGAATGTTCACATATTTCAACATCACAATAGGACCCTACGTTGGAAAGGGGTCTATCAGTGGGAATTTAAACGGCTGGCTTAGACAAGGGGATATCTATGAGGAAATACTGGTTCCATGGGCAAATTGTGCGTTACACGAAAATTGTATCTCTCCAGTTGGATCCAGTTTGGGAAACAATAGATACGATCAAACAGCCCTTTCGTTGTTGGGATACAGTTACATGTTTAGACATAACAAAACCTTACATCTTCGTACATATTTATTAGATATTGTTAATCCACCTAGAGGACACAATCGAGCCTATATAAATTATGCACAGGGATGTAATATTTCGTGGATAACGTAACTGGATCAACATGATCATTCTAGTGGGGAAAATATTGGAAACATTTTATATGATGTAATCTTGGTGAGATGAGTTTTAAAGCAATTCTTTAAGATGGATACACTCCCAGAGGTTCAATATTACAAATGTATTGGCTTTTTACAATACTTGCTTTCCTACGCTAGACACTTATCAAGGGCCGATTTTCAATTTAAATATATATATGGGGACAAAAGTATTGCACAATTTTTCTTCAAGGGGAACAACAGATGTATATATATTTTTTCAATTGCTATTTTATTGAAAACTGATTGCGTCAAGAGTATCTTTATCTTAAGTGTACAGAACAGTGCATTGCCCTTACATAGCACATGCTATTATATCAGAATTGATATTTTGTAGGATAGCCACGTGACCTCAATATGACCACCATCCTTCTAGGCATAGACTGATAAAGGTTCATTAATCTTCTGGGGGCTATGTTGGCCCAGGCCCTGAAGACACTTTGGATTAGGGCGTTTCTGGTAAATCCTTTGCCATTTGATTTCTAATATCTTGCCATATGTTTTCAATAGGGCTTGCGTCTGGCGGTTAGGCAGGCCATTTCACCCTGTTGAAACCAAGCTGGTAAAGCCTCTCTTGCACTGCCCTTGCCCTGTGTGGTGTAGCGTTATCATCTTGAATTATTAGCGGACGGTTCCTGTCCCTAAAGATATTTTCTACCAATGCTAAAAGGTGCTGGTCGAGAATTTCAATGTATCGCTGGTCATTCAAGTTTCCATTTATCAACACAAGCTCATTAATACCGTAGAAACCAGTGCACTCAAACCATTATTGAAGTGGATTGTCTAGCGAGGAAATGCATATTCTCTGACAGATGACAAGTTGGTAATGCTATCCAAACCCTCACTTGCCCAGCCACGTTGTGAACTGTGACCAGTCAGAAAAATCAAAATGGCGCCAATTCTGACCCACTGTCCAGGCAATGGTTCTTGTAGCCCATGACACTCTTCTGCGTCTGTTTACCAAGGTGATTAGTGGCTTCCTCTCGGCAACCCTGCTGTGCATACCTGTAACATTGAGCCATTGTACAGTTCTTTTGCTAACATCAACCTGCAAAGTGCGCGACCACTGCAAAGCTTATATCCTGCACGGCTCAAACCTCCTAAGCATTGACAGCATAAAAAGGCACCTGTCGTCTCTGGTTGTAGTCTTCCTTAGGCGGCCACTTGGTGTAACTTATGGGCATCACCAGTTTTCTCCATCCTTCTGCAAACCCTATACACAGTCTGACGAGATACACCATATCTGTCAGTATCTGGGTAACACTGATGCCCTCCTCCCTCAGAGAAACAATGTCATTTCTTTCTCCATTTGTGAGCTCCCGTCCCTTCACCATGATGGAAACATGACAGCTATAACTTACCTTCAGGGGCACCCTTTATAGTATAGCTCATCACTGGTAAATCGAGAAATAAACCGAAAAAACGTTGAACTGACGCCCCCCCCCCCGTGTCACATAGAGCTTTATATCACTATAAGAAAGTTATCCAGAACTATATTTATATAATTAAAGATACACCAAAAAATCTTTAGTTGATAGAATGCATAAATCTTTTGCTGACTCTTTACAATTCTTAAGAGACCGGCTTGTTTATGTTTAAAAACTCCCTGAGAGATCTTTGTACATCAGTGAAAAAGTACTATATTATATTTTATGAGGAAAACAGTCGATCAAGGGGGTTTAAACGGCTGGCTTAGACAAGGGGATATCTATGAGGAAATGCTGGTTCCATTGGTAAATTGTGCTTTACACGAAAAATTGTATCTCTCCCGTTGGATCCAGTTTTCAAAACCATCGATACGATCAAGCATCCCTTTCGTTTTTGGGATACAGTTACATGTTTAGACATAACAAAACCTTACATTTTCATTTTCATACATATTTATTGGACATAGTTTTGGAATCGAGAGGAAGGAATCACACCTATATCAGTTAGGCTCACGGATGTTATCTTACGTGAAAGATTTAAGTTTGGCAACAAATAATTTTTCCAGTGAAAAGAAAAAATTCTGTATTTTCCTATTTGTTTTTTCCTTTATGTTTTATTAATTACGGATTTTTTCCTTCAATCGAAGTTTTTGTTTGCTTCATTTCATTTGATTGACACAATTCTGTTAAGGGCAAGTGTCAGGGGTATGTCACTCTTATATCATCGGGTGTGCCACTGAAACAAAAATTCCTATGGGGTCACAGTGACCATGTGTAAAGTTAAATCAGTTACATCAAATGGAGTAGGGGATGGCGTGACTCCATTGGAGTCAACTTGACTGCAATTGGGAGTTTTTTTAATAACATTTTTATAACATTAGATAACATAACTGGGTCAACATAATCATTCTTGTGGGAACATAAAAAATGATAATTCTATATGACATAATCTTGGTGATATCAATTTTTAAGCAATTCTTTAAGGCGGATACACGTGCAGAAGTTCCATTTTGCAAATGTATCGCCTTTATATTATCTTTGGTATGCTACGCTACACATTTATTCAGGGCCGATTTTCAATATTCATTAATATAATATAATATAATATAATATAATATAATATAATATAATATAATATAATAATTGGAATGATTTTCTGATGATGTTATGGGTTATATGTAAAGCCAATGCAGGGATGTTGTTTTTAAGAACGTTGATAATTTTTGTTGTATCTGCATTAAATTCCTTCTTTCACTATATATGGCCTGCTATTGCGCAAATCACCCAAATCAGCATAGCTTGTACGAGCTTTGACACAAAGGAATGATCTTTTTCAAATCTCCTGGGTAAGGCGGGGCTACATATAGTGACACTGGCATTTATTTGACGAAAATGATTGTATCGTCTATTTTGAAAAATTGAATCATCTATTTTTTCACTTACTGGTTGAATAAAGTGAGTTGCCTTCATGTACAACTATCTATGTGAAACTGCTATTTGGGGATTAAACACAGTGTACTGCTATGTGGTTGATATTTGTACGTTATAAGAATCTCATTATGTGGCGCATATTTTCTGGCACTAGATAATATTTTTTTTTTTTAAACGTTTTTATCTAAAAAACAAAAAGATGAATCGAGGCACCGACCTGAATTTGCTGGTCCCTGTGAAGTCAAAAAAAGTGTTTTCATTTGTTCTCTGCTACTGATGGTTCGAAGGAAGCCAAAATAAAAGATTGAAAAAGAAAAAGGACACAGATGTAATCAACTGCTGTGATGACCACGTGTAGAGTCAGCGAAATAAAAATCTACAAGACACACGCACGGAAAAAAGAAGTGGCAAAAGTACAGGTCAGCGATCATTTTGCAAAAGAAAAAAGTTTTCATGTACAGTGTTAACGAAAGGTGTATCATACCATTACTAAGGAAATGATTTTGATATGAAAACCGATAGTGCAAGAATGCATTTTACAGGAGGTTATATAGTGTTCCTCAGGAGGATTCTAGAGCTCCAATCGTAAAATATATATAAACAAAACTACAGCAGTTTCACATGATCAAGATTACCACCAATGATGAAATTTGAAATATTGATCATGACTAATATGCCACGCCTGCAAACACTTCTTGAAGGATCTTTTTTTACTAAACGGCTTCACCAGTCGTGTACTTTGAATATTTGTTATGCACGCCTAGATTTGAAAAAAAAAAATGGTTACGTTTCAATAAAGAAAGATCAACTGTGAATTTCGTTTTGAGTTTTGTTTTGTTTTTAATGTGATAATAACTTGTTACCTTACACACATCTCAAAAAGTTTGTTCTTATAACATTTTAGTTTTAATCTAAGGCGCTATGGGCGATAGCAACATGTACAAGAAATTATATCTTTATTGAATTTTAATGAAAACTTTTTGATTCGAAACAATGTAAAAGTTGGTGACATTTTTATCCACAATAAATCTAGGGTAGGATGGAGGCCACCTTCTCGGTCTAACGTAATGTTCTATTTTGACAGCACAGTAGGTTTTTTCAATCACCAACGTACTAGTATTATCCGTCTCACATTTGACCGATTATTGCCAGATTCCCTAGTTGATTACCTCACGTTTTATGTCAAATAAGGGGCGAAGAGTCATGGTAGCCAATCACGTGCTCACACGTCATTAGTCCCCCAAAAGTAGGTGGAGCGAAGGTAATGCATGTAGAAAACCCTGCAGTTCTTTACTCTAAAGACAGTGCATTTCTACATGCACCAGTTGCCCCTGTATGGACTGCACTCATGTATATACCGAGGTTCAGGTGCCGCAGGATTATCCTTTAGTACTAGGGAAGATATAGAAAATGTTGTCTCTCTCTCTCTCTCTCTCTGCTTTTCTTTCTCACAACTCTCTCGTTTTATGTGTGTGTGTGCGTGTGTGTGTGTGTGTGTGTGTGTGTGTGTGTGAGAGATAGAGAGAGA